CAGTTTTCTGAAAAATCCTTCCTCTTACAGCTTTTGAAAACTCATGAAAATGCTTTAGAAAGACAGTGCAGTGAAATTACAAGCCAAAGAAATATGCTTTGCCAAACTCTTGTAAGTCTCTAACCACTTAGAAAAAAAATCTGTTTCACTCTGTCAAAAATGTACTTAAATATACTTAGGTGTACTCTTAGAAAATTATCCTTATACATATTGGCAGATACTACTGTTTAGATACAGAAAAGTATTAAGTGCTGTTTAATTGGTAGAGTACTATAGTTTGAAAGAATTCTGTTGCTGGGAATATAATGTAAGGATTATTTGCAATTGTAATAAGCATAAAAGAAATAGGAAAAATGGTTTGATCTGCTCAAGCTTGAGACCTTGGTTTTAATGCTTTTCAGAGGCAGAGAGGTTCGTACTTTAGGCACATAAAGATGTGGCTTAAAGGATAGATTTTATTCATCTTTTATATTAAGCCAGAGCCAACCAACTGAGTGATACTTTAGAATGCCAGGTCTGTTTAGAAATATCTGAAAGGGACCAGCAGATGATATAATGGCTGTGTCGCTGAAATCCCACATAGTTGACAGCAGTTCGAGTCCTGGACCCAGTGGCTTAAAACTCACACCAGACGCATATGTGTGTGTGTGCATGCCCAGGATCCCGAGAAGAGAATGGAGAAGGGATTGCGGCATGGCCATGCCCCTCCCCAGTGGGTGATTTCTTACTTTCTGTCTCTCTGTCTCTGTCTCTTCAGTGAGTGCAAGCACCCTACAGCAAAAATCTCTTAAAAATGTGTATAACCGGAGATTAATTGATATTTGAAAATAAATTTGAATATATTTAAAATGCATATCAAAAGTTAGAACCAACAGACTTGGTAGTTTTAAATGGCAGGCCAGTTTCTAAATGTGGCTTATATTTAGTTGACATGTCTTAGAAAGAATGGAAAAATACAGTAATGTTTAGGTTCTACAATAGCATTGTCAAAAATTTAGGTTCTTGCATTGTCCAAAGTTTTGAAAACACTTATTTTCATACCATTTGATATTTCATAAAACATAAACCATTATTTAGAATTAATTTTAAGAGGTTTCCTTGGATATCTACATTTGATTGTCATTTTTTTTCTAAAAAGTCATAATTTCTTGGAGTATGAATTTTAGTTTTCAAGTTTGGTCATTTAAATTTTGCTGTCCAGCTTTATATTATAATGACATTATATGTGATTATGAAGTTTAGTACACAAATAAATGCAGGCATATAGTGAGAGGTAGAATTTTTAACTTCAATAATTCTCCCAAATTTTAGGGAAAATTCTTTCATCTGAGGGTTATTGTTTGTTAATTTCAATATTTATTAATGTTACTTAGGGAGTAAAGAATTTTTGTAGCAATACCAGGAAGTATAATGTATACTTTTGTTGTGAATAATTCCAAGTTAGTATATTTTAAATCATTAAAGAAATATTATTACATGTAACACCTGTATTTGATCTTTTATTTCTGCTTTTTCAGGAGGTTACAAAGAGAAAAGTGACAGAGGAGGAAGAAAAATTTATTAAGGAAATTACAGACTTCAATAATGAGTATGAAATAACAAAGAAAAGAGAGATTTTTGTGAAAGAAAATGTCAAGATTGAAATATCCAACTTAGAAAATCAGGCAAATGTTTTGAAAAGGGGTATGAATACATACTATTACATCATTTGTCTGGCATTAATGAAAATAATTTATTTTCAGGAAATTTATTTTCCAGAAATTTAACTTTTTCCTAAGCAAATTGGGTTATTGCAGGCCTGTTCTTTTACCTGACTGTCCCAGTGGGTAAGCCCCTTCTATCGTGTGCAGTCTTGGATTCCGTAGAAGTACATGCGACATAAACATCTGGTCATTCGTTCAGTAAATACTTGTTCACTAATAATGTGATAGGCACTGAGCTGGGCCTAGGTTTATTAAACTAAAAAGTGGAAGAAACATATTAACAGTACAATGTGGTAAAATCTACAATAGGAGTTAGAACCTGGGCTATGATCCTCATTTTGCCATCAGTCCAGTATAAGCTAGAATAGGTTTAACAGTGGGGTGGGAAGAGTTTCATTTCAGGAACACAAGCATGCAGGTTGTTTTAATTGGTGTTAAGAAACTGAATTAAACAACTTATCAGAGAAGAGGGTGTTCAGTATATTGTGGTAACATGGGCATAGAAGTGCTAAAAATACTTCTGTTTAGAAAGGGGGAAGATAGAAGAAAAATACAAGCCATTGCTTCTAGCAGTTCTGAAATCCAGCTGGGAAGATACTAGAAACTCCTTGATTAGGAGTTAGGCGTCCTCTTGTGTGGAAATGATTCTCTGTGGCTCTTGGTTCTATCCTCTGCGCTCTTGCTTCCATTCTCTAAGTCATTCCTTTTTATTAAAAGATAGCTTGTTTTTGTAGCTGCTAGTTTCCTCAGCATGCTCCTTTCCTGTGGATGTTTGGGTATCCATGGTATTCGTATTCATTTTTTTTTCTTTGTCTATTTTAGTCCAGGCTTATTGTGTTTGTGCAATACAATTCTCTCAAAAGTTTTGTGGATCTCTTATTAGTCTTAATAAGGTTTATTCCTTTTGGAAAATCTTAAAACTACAGGTTTCTGAGACCATCCTTATTTTTCTTTGGGTTCCTGGTGATACTGATGTGAGTCAGAAAGAGGGGTAAAAAAAATTCTAGGAACTAGAAATGGAAAATTTTTTATAATAATATGCATGATTAAGTCACTATGTAGTATATTCTGGATGGGAAATCATATTTTGTATGCTGTGATGATGCTTAGGTGCTACTTTATAGGATGCCTAAAGTTAGACTTGTGTGCATGGAAATATATATATCAGCTGTGTTTGCTATGAAAATATTTAGATTAATTAAGGTCTTTAGTAATTCAATAAAATGTGGGGGAAAAACAGTATAGAAAGCAAACATAGATACCAGAGACAGTGTGGGAGAAGAGTGGGAGATGGCAGAGGGTAAGAGATACGGAATCAAGGATGGGGGGAAAAAAGCAAAACATACATAAAACAAGAAATGGAAAATTATTTGCTGACAATAACATGTTTGTTGATGTGTTTTACTGAGACAATACACAGTGTACTCTGGATGGAAAATCTCGTTTTGTGGGACCAGCAGTTAGCGTAATGGCTATGTCACTGGACTCCCACGTAGTCGACCACGGTTCGCGTCCCGGACCCGGTTGCTTAAAACTCATGCCGGGTGCGTGTGCATGTGTGCCCAAGATCCTGAAAGGAGAATGGAGGAGAAAGGATTGCAGCATGGCCACCCCTGCTGGGGTGTGATTTATTGCTTTCTGTCTCTCTGTCTCTCTCTGTTTGTCTGGTAAGCGCACGCACCCTTATAGCAAAAACCTCTCCAAAAAAATAAAATAAAATAAAAATTTAAAAAAGAGAGAGAAAAAAAAGAAAATCTCATTTTGTATGCTGTAATGATGTATAGTGAATGAATGCAAATAAATAAATTTAAATTTAAAAAAAGAAAAACAGATAGAAAGCAAGTAATAAAATGGGATACCTAAATCCATCTATACCAGTAATTACATTAACAGCTACTAATCACTGTAGTTAAAAGGCAGAATTTATCAGAATGAATGTAAAGATTTCATTTATACCATCTAGAAGTAAATCTAAAGAGACTAAAGATATAAAGAGGTTGAAAACAAATGAACAAAAGAAGATATACCATGAAAGCAGTAGCCATGAAAAAGGCTAAAGGAGCTATATGAATATTAAATGTAATTGAATTTCCGATAAAGTATATTACCAAAGATAAAGAGTAGAATTTTATAATGAAGAAAAGGTCAATTCTCAATAAGTTAAGAAGATTGAAATAATGTAGTGTGTTCTGTAACCATAAGGGAATACATTAAAAATCAGTAACAGTAAATAGCCAAGAAATCCCTAAATATTTGGACATTAAATGGCACACTTGTAAAAATAATCCATGGACAAAAGGTGAAATCAAAGCAATTTAGAAAATATTTTCAGTTTGGTATTAGTATAATTTAAACATATCAAAATTTATAGGCAATAGAGCAAAGCTACATCAGTACCTGTAAGTGCTTATGTTAGTAAGGAAGGAAAGTCTAAGATCAATGATATAATGTTATACATAATAAAGCTAAGAAAAGAAAAGAAATAAACCTAAACCAAGAAAGAAAGAGGTAAATATAAAACTTAAAACAGAAAAAAAATTTACGAAGCCCAAACCTGGTATAAAAGATCAACACAATTGATAAACTCCCAGTTCTATTGATCAACAAAAAAAAAGGTAGGAGATAAAATCACCAATATCATGAATGAAAGGTGTTTTTGTTTGTTTGTTTGTTTGTTTGTTTTAGAGAGATTTTTGCTAGAGGGTGCATGTACTTGCCAGGGAGACAGAGAGACAGAAAGGGAGAAATCACCCCCTCCTCCCCCGCCCCCCAGGATGAATGGTCATGCCACAATCCCTTCTCCTACATTCTCCTCTTGAGATTTTGGGCATGTATGCACATGCACCTGGTGTGATTTTCTTTCTTTTTTTCCTAATGTTAGAAATATTTGTTCTCATTTTGTTTGTGACACTATAACAACAGAGACAGTATGGTTTTAAATATTTTTGAGACAATATTTGCATGTCAACTACTCAAACTGTTGAAAAGCAAACACCCAGCACACAATTCACACATAAACCTTCTCAATTCAGCCCTGCCTACTAAGTATTCTGTGATATACCATCTGGTAGCAGAGATCAGTCTCTTTTTCTTCCTTCAGAGTCTTCCTCAAGATAGTCTTCTGGTTGTGGCTGCTCTTTTGCAATCTCTACTAATTACAATGCTCGGCTGGAAAAGCCCAGGTTATTTTATGGTATGAATTCTTTCATATTGCTTCTCTAATCCTCTCTGCCAGGCAGAACTGTTTATGGTGCCAGGCAATATTTCCAAGAGCTTCTGTTGGCTTACTTGAGATCTACCTGAGTTCCATAGTTTTCTGGTTTAATCTTCAGATATGACATTCCAGACAAAATACTGTCCAGTACCAAGTATTTCCATTTTCTGATTCGAGGTGACAGGTATTATTGAATTTATGGAAATAACCATTCTGCCACAAAATAAGAATGCTCCCAAATATTTTCCAATTCTAGAGGGGTCAGGAAGGGAGAAAATTTTATGTTTCCGTTTAAAGAAACAAAACAAGAAGAAAAAACATTTTAACAAATTGCTGAACTTATCAACAGCTCAAAAGAAAGCAAAATCTTTAAATTGGGAAAACAAAGCATAGTAAAGAATAAGACAGTATTGTTTTACTCAAAAAGTCATAAAATTCTATTTCACCAGTTCAGTCTGATGTGATTAATCTTTCTTCTGTTGAATTTGCAGCATTACTGTGGTCTGATCTTTCTGTTTGAATCCTGGAAGTTAGCATTCAGTGTTATTATTGATATTTCTTGTCTCTATCATTAAGTCGGTCATTTTTCTTGGTTGCTTTTTGTTCTCTGATTTCTGTATGTGTCACCTGGTGTGATTTTCAAGCCTCCGGATCCAGGACTCAAACCATAGTTAACCATGTGAGCATCCAGTCATGTAACCATTGCCAGACAAAATACTGTCCAGTAACAAGTATTTCCATTTTCTGATTCGAGGTGACAGGTATTATTGAATTTATGGAAATAACCATTCTGCCACAAAATAAGAATGCTCCCAAATATTTTCCAATTCTAGAGGGGTCAGGAAGGGAGAAAATTTTATGTTTCCATTTAAAGAAACAAAACAAGAAGAAAAAACATTTTAACAAATTGCTGAACTTATCAACAGCTCAAAAGAAAGCAAAATCTTTAAATTGGGAAAACAAAGCATAGTAAAGAATAAGACAGTATTGTTTTACTCAAAAAGTCATAAAATTCTATTTCACCAGTTCAGTCTGATGTGATTAATCTTTCTTCTGTTGAATTTGCAGCATTACTGTGGTCTGATCTTTCTGTTTGAATCCTGAAAGTTCAGTGTTATTATTGATATTTCTTGTCTCTATCATTAAGTCGGTCATTTTTCTTGGTTGCTTTTTGTTCTCTGATTTCTGTATGTGTCACCTGGTGTGATTTTCAAGCCTCTGGATCCAGGACTCAAACCATAGTTAACCATGTGAGCATCCAGTCATGTAACCATTACATCATCTGCTGGGCCCTTTGAATGAAAGATATATTGTTTTAAGAGATTTTTGCTGTAGGTCATGTGCACTCATCAGTGAGACAGAGAGAGAAGAGAAAATTCCCCCGCCGCCCCACCCTGGGAGGATGGCAACACTGCAATCCCTTCTCCTCCATTTTCCTCCTGGGATTGTGGGCATGCATGCACACATATTCAGCATGAGTTTCAAGCCTCTAGGTGTGGGACTCTAGCTGCATATGGGAATTCAGCACCTTAACTACCATGCCACTTGCTAGTCCTTATAGGTACAAATTTTAAAGATAAGTTTAATAAGCAATTATTAAACAGTTTATGTCTACAAATGTGACAACTAAGGTAAAATGGATAAATTTCTTGAAAGATTAAGCTGCAGAAAGCTCACTCAAGAAGAAATAGAAATCTCTATATCTAGTGAAAAATTGAATTCATAGCTAAAAATATTCCCACAAAGAAAACTCAAGAGAGGAATAG